AGAATATCTTTTATATGACTCATACATGAGTTATTCCTGGGGTTGGAGCTGGCCTGCGAGCTCTATAATATCTACACAAGACTGTGGGTACAGGTTTTTTAAACTTATGGATAAAAACCAGTATTTAGGCATAGCGGTTTAGAAAAAGTTTCTTAACATAAAGTAGTGTTTATTGGAAATACAGATCAAACTGGAATAATAACATCTTTACAACACCTTATAATGGTCTTGGCATGAACTTTATGCCCTGTTTTGTACACATACAAAGACATGTGTAATGTTGTTATTAATACTTCAGAGCCAGCCATATAAGAGTTTAGTGCAATATAAACAATGACATGATGACCAGGAAGAAGAGAAATACATTTAAAGAAGTAGACATTATCTTTGTTTTGAAAAGCAGTTTTTAAAATGGGACACATAAAACATCTCAGGAATTGAATTTATAAAATTAGGAAAATATCCTTAAAAAACTTACTGATACTATTTTATGTACACACATATGTATACACATGTAAATTTTAAGTGTGTGCAGGGTACTATTTACCTCTAGAGATCTGCCCCACTGGGCAGACTGCCACTGTCATTTCCTCAGTCCCAATCTCTGTGTATGTAGGCATGTGATCTTACCCCAGCTAAGTTTACCCGTGCAGCTTTCCAATCACCTCTCTTGCTCTTTAAAAGCAACAGATAATGAGAAAAAAAAAATATGCCAGCTGATGGTGCTGCTGGCTGGTGTAACGTAATCTTTTTTTCCAATGAAAGTACTTCTCCAGTTTGCTAACTTTTTCCAAACTCTTAGCTGCTTTTTGGTTATTTAACCACTGAACACCTCATCAATAATTTACTTTTTAAAAAACTCGCAACTCCGTTTTATTCCATTAAGCACAAAACATCTTGTCTGTAAAAACAAAGCAGCTTTAGCAAAACATTTTTCCCCCATGGGCTTCAATGGACCAAAAAGGTTTTATGCAGACAAATGAAATTGGTTCACCAGATAGTGCTTTTGCAAGACCAATTGATTCAGAAATTGAAAATCTCCAAATTTCCCTTCAGCTATACAAATTCAGGTCTGCTTTGAATAACTGCGGGCATTAATGGTGACTTTAAGAACTCAAGAGTCCTTTGGGGTACTTCTATGAGGTGACTTTAACGTGTTGGAATACATAGACGCCTTCTAAGGTAACTTGTCATCTTCTAGGCATCTCCTTTCCTGTGTCCCTTATCTCTTGGCATTGAACCAATACAACAGAGAGTTAGTTTTCCCTTTCTTCACAAAAGTACCCACACACGGCATCAATTATCTGACCTCTAAAAGTTGAGTGCAAGTTTTATGACCTTTAAAATAGATTCATTCAACCAACCAACATTTTCTGAATGCCAACCATGTGTCAGAGACAGTCTAGTCTTGGAAACAAAGGGAATAAGAGATGATTCTTGCCTTTTGTGGTTTAGAAAGATATTTCCAGATTTCTTTGTTGAATGTCTAATGCAGCAGGTTAGACCATGACTAGGGGGAGCTGGGGATGGGAAAACAGGTCACAGTATTTTTCAGTCATATTTCCTTGTTTTGGGGAAAACGTAAGACTCTTCATTACCTTTCATCCACCTTATTATCTCCTTGTCTTTTTAAAAAATTACTTTGCTTCTACTTAGAAGCCTTTTTTATCTCCTTTTTATCACCCAAATCCCTTATCAAACGTTACCACTTGTGTAGTTTTTCCTGACACCTTGAGTTTCACAATTGTCTCCTTGTTATATACCTGTATATAGGTCTTAGCATATTTCATTACAGGTACACTTGCCAGTATATGAAAAGGGCTTTAAAATCCCCTAGTTCATAATAAGCTCTCAATATACATATTTGAGACAGGAAAAAGAAAGACAGGGAGATTTCTGTGTTTATCACTTTGACTTCCTACAGGAAATAATAGGGGTTGGGTTTTTTAAATTTTAAATTTATACCAACATGTCTATCTTATTGTCCAACAACGTATCTGTTTGTCAAATAGGTTTGTTGAAAATTATGGAAAATAAAAAATACATCTTGATCTACATATTTTAAGAAGCTTGTGATATTCTCCACTTCCTTGTTGGTAGGGTAAAAATACACCCAGAGTAACTATACTTTTATTTAGCATAATTCCTCGAGAATATTTAGATGTGTAGCTTTTAAAATAATATTATCCCAAAATGGATACTTCCATGAATCACAAATGTGTATACTTCTCTGTTGTAAATTAAAGACAAAAAATAATAATAACCTGTAAGGAAAACCTTCTTCTACAGAGCCTTGCTGCATACATGCCACAGTGTGAAAATAGGCTTTGCCTGTGTTTAGAGGAATGGAGATTTCTATATTTAAATATTTCATTATTATTTAGCAGATAGGAAAAGTTGCCACAGACAGTGATTACTAGTAAATAAGACTCTGTTTAGCTCATTTAAAAAGATGATTTCCAAAGGCAAATGATGTGAGGTACCTATTTAAGGAAATAGCAACAAGATTTAAGAAGCAATGAAATGTGTAACATGTTGATTGTTTTGTAACAAATCTGAATTAATATTGAAAGAATTGTATACCGTATCATATACTTCCTTGCTGTAGAGATATTCTATAAGTTGTGTTGGATGTGCTGATGTCTACTTCTGTTACCATAGCACCACTGCTATGACCGCTATTGTCAATAATGATAATAATGGTAACTCCTCTTATTTACATGCAACCTTAAAAACATACAACCTTTTCATTTACCTATTTTTGATCCTCACAATAATCATGCTGAAATTTTTTCTAAGGAAAAAATTCAAAGGTAAAGTAGGATATGCAGAAGGATGTTCATCCTTGTGTTTGATAAACAAAAACTCAAAATATAAATGCCAAACTTTATCAGAATGGTTCAATAAATATGATTAATACAAATACTACATAGTTAAAATTGTAAATACAATGTCTATGTGTGAAAAAGGAAAATTCTTGTGTTTTTCTACTAGGTGAAGATAAAAAGAAAATAAAATTATATTGGTACGACTATTACAACTGTGGAAATATTTCTGTGTATTTGAACAAAGCCCCAATGGCAACATGGTCAAATATAAGTTTGTTATGATAGCATAGCATAGCAGTGAACTATTTGAATTGTTTTTAGATTTTCAGTGACACTGCTATTGTTTATTATACCATATACATGTTTATTATTTTAAAATAAAATTAAATGCATACAATTTTTTTTTTTTTGAGTCAGGGTCTCTCTTTGTTGCCCAGGTTAGAGTGCAGTGTCATCATCAGCAAAGCTCACTGCAACCTCAAACTCCCAGGTCAAAGTGATCCTCCTGCTTCTGCCTCCAGAGTATCTGGGACTACACCTGCTCATCATCACATCCAGCTAATTTTTCTATTTTTAGTAGTGACAAGGTCTCACTGAGTTCAGGCTGATCTCGAACTCCCAGCTTCAAGTGATCCTCCTGTCTTGGCCTCCCAAAATACTTGGATTACAGCGTGAGCCGCCACACCCAACTAAATACATATTCTTATTATAATAATGAAACATACATCAAATATATGTATTACATAAAGCAATGCATCTCTTTAAGGAAGTTTTTTGCAAAAAGTGGCTGTATATTCCTTTTCAATAGAATGTAATTCTCACCCTCCCTGCCCCACCCCTTGTGTGTCTTGGTCACTGCAGTGCTTTCAAATAATGCTATTGCTCTGTCTGTATACCAAGAGATGAGTTTTTAATTGGTCTGGGTTAGGGCCAGATATTCATTTGTTTTTGTCTTTAATTTCTCCAGATAATTCTGTTGTGCAACTTGAAACGAGAACCACTAATACAGTTAAAAATAAGTAATGTTTTCTATTTTTAAATATTAAATTCCCTGAATTGTTGTCTCTAGTATGAGACTTTCAAGAATAAGGATACTATCTGGTTGAAGACTAGTCCAATTTAAGGAATCATAGGCATAAAATATATACAACCGGAATGGCAAAGATTAATTATTATTTTTATTCATTGTTAAAAATAATGATAAAATAGAGTTTTGGTGAGAGAAATGAGCACTGTCATAGACTATTTATAGGGATGTGAATCGAATATATATCGAACAACTTCACTGGAGGGTAGTTTGACAATATTTACTTAAAGCTTTCAAAATATGTGAACCCTTTTGTCTATGGAATTTCACTTTCAAGAATTTATCCCTAGAAGACAATTAGACAAAATGACAAAGAAAAAATAAAACTGTTTATTATATTGTTGTTTACCATAGTAAAATATTGGAAATAAGCAAAATAATCATAACTGTGGATCCATTCATAATACTATAAAATGGTTCTGTAGCTCCATATAAGTTAACATGTAAAGATATTCAGAATATACTGATAAATGGAGAAAGTTACAATAGAGCATTATAGCAAGATTGTGGTTTTGCTTACAAATATATGTAAATATGTGCGTATATATTAATATAGAAATATATGTGTGTGCATCTGTATATACCTGCCAGTGAGGAAAAACAAGAAACAATACACTAAAATATTAATAGTTATTTATCTCCATAAGTACTTTTTATTTTCTGCTTTATATTTTCATGTGCACTCTAATATTGTGGGGGGTTTCACTACAGCAAGTATTAGTTTTATAAATAAAGACAAAGCTTTTTGAAAAATGAAAAAATATTTATTTTGGAAAATGAAATTTTGTTGCTTTTATCTTCCCAAGTGAATGAACAACACTGATTCTTCCATCTTCACCTTGTCTAGCTGTGAAAAACAAGCTCTTTGGTAATTAGCAACAGCTAAGTAGGTTAGGAAGTATAAATTTAAACTTAGGTCCTGCTAACAGATGTCAAATCATCTCTGATTACAATGAGTTTAGTTACAGTCAAGGAAGGTGCCACGTACCAAATAAATTGAAATGTGTCTTAATGCATTTAAATGGCTGGTCTTGCTTAATTTCCATGATGAATAACTGGATGGGTTTTTTGTTTTTCCATTTTAGGAGGTTCAGGACCATCATCCTCCATATCCATAGCGGGCACCAACCACCCTGCCATCACAAAGACAACGTCTGTTCTTCAAGATGGCGTCATAGTTACCACCGCAGCTGGAAACCCACTGCAGAGTCAGCTGCCCATTGGGAGTGATTTTCCTTTTGTTGGCCAGGAGCACGCACTTCATTTTCCATCCAACAGCACTTCAAACAACCATCTACCACACCCCTTGAACCCCAGCCTCCTCAGTTCTCTACCTATCTCTTTGCCAGTGAATCAACAGCATCTCCTAAACCAGAATCTATTAAATATCCTCCAGCCTTCAGCAGGAGAAGGCAAGTCTGAGATCAACCTCCACCCTTTAGGTTTTCTCCACCCGAGCGTAAACGCTGCTTTAGCTTTTCTCTCCAGTGACATGGATGGGCAGGTATTGCAGCCTGTTCACTTTCAGCTCCTAGCAGCCTTGCTTCAGAACCAAGCCCCAGCAGCTGCCATGCTTCCCCTGCCATCTTTCAATCTGACCATCTCCGATCTTTTGCAACAGCAAAATACCCCTTTACCCTCATTAACACAGATGACAGCCCCACCAGACCATTTGCCAAGCAATCAGTCAAACAACAGCCGAGCTGAGACCCTTTTAACCAGCCCCCTGGGGAACCCTTTACCAAGCTTTGCAGGCAGTGACACTACTTTTAACCCCCTGTTCCTCCCAGCTGTCACTGGGGCCTCAGGATTAATGGCCTTGAATCCCCAGCTGTTGGGAGGTGTCCTGAACTCGGCATCGGCCAACACCGCTAATCATCCAGAGGTTTCCATAGCAACCTCCTCCCAGGCAACCACTCCCACAACCACTACATCATCAGCAGTGGCAGCACTGACTGTCTCAACACTTGGTGGGACAGCAGTGGTGTCAATGGCAGAAACATTGCTGAATTTATCTAATAATGCTGGGAACACACCTGGTCCAGCTAAACTCAACAGTAACTCTGTGGTGCCACAGCTACTTAACCCTCTACTGGGGACAGGTCTGCTTGGTAAGTTAAATTTTTTCACAAATTTTTACAAAAGAAACGTTTTTCTAATTCTATTTTCTCCTTTTTAAAAACTCCACTTTGTCACACTATTTTTAAAAATGTTTTTGTTATGTCACAGCTTATTTAAGGAACTAAATATAACAACACCCACATACAATCATAGTAATACAAACATGAGGATGACTTTCTTCTTTTTCCCTATTCTAGCAATACTAAATATCATTTTAATCTGCTTTCTCTTCTAATTCTGATGCCACCTAAACCTAACCTAGCTGTCATCTCTTAAGCCAAGTAGTCTTATTTTTCAAATAATAAAGCACAGGTACATCTTAAAAATAACTTGCATTTGAATTTTAGTCGGTGTGGCATCACAGGGTTAGTATGAGCAGCTGCACTGTGGATGGAAAGAGTTTACAAAAGTGTTTTCCAGGTGGACCCTAAATAAATAAAACTCAATGCTAGTCCAGCAAAACAAAAAACAAGGTGTAAAAACATTCAAAGCTAAACTTTCTTTAAACGAGTTTAAAGAAAAAGACAGCTATTCTAGCTGCTGCTAGATGTCTTCAGAAAGTATTACTTTTTAGACCTTGGGGTCTTAAAAACAAAGTCCTTCCTATAGATTATCCTGTCATAGAAAAGTTGGAAAAGAATGCCAAGTATATTTAACTGATAGACGCAGGCAGCTTTAATATAAAGTTAAGGAATGGTGTTCCAAAAGGAAACCTAGGAGAGTATACATGATCTTGTCAAGGGCGTCTTCAATATGTAAAAAATTTTAATTTATATGTAGATTTTATGGACACCTTCATAATGCATATATCATAATTAATTTTATTTGGCATTGAAATCTCTATAGTTAAATAACCTAAAAAGCATTTCAGATTTACATATTTGAAGTTATAGGACAATTCATACAACATTGTCTAGGAGATAATGTCATAGTAATTTCAAACAGTTTTGAATTTTGAATATAAATGTAGTTATTAATTAATCTTACTATCATATAATATTTATTTGCAATGATTAAGACAATGAATTACTTTGGGTAGTTAGCTTTCTTTACAATTTTCATTTTAGGGGACCAACCTTTTGCTCCAAAACAAAATTCATATCTCTAAACCAAATCTCTAATTTTATTTGGTCATATTTATTGACTAAACAAAGCCTGATCAGGTCCACTCATTTTAATCATTTCATCAAGTATGATTGCTAAAACATTTTAGGATTTATTTCAACCTTTAATTTTAGATGCTCTAATAAAAATAGATTCAAGGAATCATGTAACACTGGAGCTCAATGTACAGTATAAGGATTTGTTAATGGGCAGAGCAAGGACTAAGTAGTCTTTCCCTGAAATAAAACTAAAAAACTAATTATGCAAGATAAAACTAAATAATAAAGCTACTCTTTCCTTACCACTTAGTAAAACTTTGAGGAGAAAAAAAGAATTACCCAAGTAAGTGTAGCTATTAGGTTTTATTTCAGGAATTGTCAGGTACAAAGAGAGGCATAGAATCTCCAAAGAACCATATTGACTTATATTTTATGTTTTTCAAACTATAGGTGATATGTCATCAATAAACAGTACTTTGAATAACCATCAACTGACTCATCTACAATCGCTGTTAAACAACAATCAGATGTTTCCTCCAAATCAGCAACAGCAGCAACTTCTCCAGGGGTACCAGAATCTCCAGGCATTCCAAGGACAGTCCACAATTCCTTGCCCAGCTAACAATAACCCCATGGCTTGTCTGTTTCAGAACTTTCAGGTACTCTCCTTCCCGGGGTCAAAACATTTAACTTGGGGAGAGTAGTTAGATCATGTGCTGTTTCACTTCTCTTTACTGTTAGTTCTCAAACATGAGTATTGTTGAGCATGCCAGTCTTTTTCCGTGAAGGTTATTTAATTTTGTCTGAAGTATCCCAGTAATTCTTTTGGAGTAAAAACTGATAATGTGACCTCCTTAAACCTTTTTGTCATCTCTCATTGCTCTCACGAACAAGACTCACATCCTTAACGTGCCCACCCAACCTTCCCCTCCAGCCTAACTCCCACTTCTCTCCCCTGGGCTTTGGCCACATGGGCTTTCTTTAGTTCTTCAAAGTGACTAAGTTCCCGGTAAATTAAGGAGCTAGATAGGAACAGTAACACTAAACAAATATAAGAAGAAAATATAAGGTTTTGATAATAATTTGGGAGAAAAAAAAGCTTTATAAGTACAACACAAAACCAAGGAATTCAAAAGGAGAAGAAGAAACAGAATTGAATATATAAAATGTTTAAATTTCTTTGACAAGGATAATCTAAACAAAGTTAAATACAAATCCCATCTTGGCAGAAAAAACTTGCATAATACAAATAATTATCTCCTATAACATAAAAAGAACTCCTACAGATCAGGAAGAAAAAGACAAACTGATTAGAAAAATGAGCAATAGGGCAGCGCCTGTGGCTCACAAGGTTAGGGCGCCGGCCCCATATGCTGGAGGTGGCGGGTTCAAACCCAGCCCCCGGCCAAAAAAAAAAGAAAAAGAAAAATGAGCAATAGATATGAACACACAATACACAGAAAGTGAAAGATAAATTATTCATAAACATAGGAAAAGAATAATCAGAGTTACACAAATGTTAACATCAATGTGCCATCAGATTGATGATACACAGGGTTGAGAAGGGTGAAGGGGAATGGAATCAGGAATTTCTCAGGTTATCGTTGGCCTGATTGTATCCTGATCCAATCCTTTTGGAGGATAAATTGATAGTATATCAAATCTTTAATTGTACATAACATGTAAGTCAAAGTTCAACTTTTGTGTATCTATTTTAGAGAAATCTTCGATTGTGAACAAAATAGCACGTATGGAAATGTTCATTACAACATGATTTGTAGCATCAAAAATTATGAACCATTTAAGTATCCATCAGTAGGGAAATAGTTAAATACGTTACATCTACCCAGCAGTTTAAAAGAGCATGTAGTTTTTATAATCTGGTATGAAAAGATCTATTAAGACTTCAAGACTCCACTGCTATAGTACTGCAGAACAGTACCACAGGACAATCCCATTTATGATAAAAGAAAGAAAGAAGGAGGGCAGGGGGCAGTAGGGAAAAGGGGGGACCGTATCCACCTGCACACTTTAATGACTTTAAAGGTGTTTGTAAGGATTTACTCCAGCACCGGTTACTTCTGAGAAGGGAATTGGGATTGGAGTAGGATGAGTAGGGTGGCAAAGTGTGGGTTTTGGGGTGGGAAGTAGTGATGAAGAAAACCTTTATCTTTTTTGACAATGATAAAATATTTATTGATCTCTTATGTAAAAAAAAATAACTTAGAAAGGAAGAATCTGTCTTGGTGCCTATAGCTCAAATGGCTAAGGCGCCAGCCACATACACCAGAGGTGGTGGGTTCGAATCCAGCCCGGGCCTGCCAAACAACAATGACAACTACAATGAAAAAAATAGCTGGGTGTTGTGGCAGGCACCTGTAGTCCCACCTACTTAGGAGGCTGAGGCGAGAGAATCACTTAAGCCCAGGAGTTGGAGGTTGCTGTGAGCTGTGATGCCACAGCACTCTACCCAGGGTAGAGGTTGAGGTTCTGTCTCAGAAAAAAAAAAAGAAAAGAAAAGAAAGGAAGAATCATCCAACCATGTCACTGAGAAAAAAAGATAAAGCATGAAGAAAATCTATTAGATTTACAAATTAAGACCTCACCAGTGACTTGGTGGAATGCAGTTTTGGTGGAGTGCTGGGAGCAGAGGCCAGGCTACAAGGGATGGAACAGTGAATGGGAGCTTAGCAATTAAAGAATATAAATTTAAAATGTATATTTTAGTTGCTTTTGTCACACACAAAAGCAACTATGTGAGATGATAGATGTTAATTTGATTCACTTTAATAACTATTTTACTATTTATACGAATCCCATAACATCACGTTAACCTCAAATACACATAATAAAATTTATTTTAAAAAACACCTAATTATGAAGATATAAGAGAACTAGGGCAGTGCTCAGAGGTGGGTGTTAGGTTGAATGCAATCTTTTAAAATATGCCCATAATCATATGCTAAAGGACAAAGAGAAACCAAGGGAAGAGATTGACCAGGCAAGATCCCCGAGGAGGGTGAGGAGGAGGTTGAAATCCAAAGCACAATGGGGGGCTTCCTCCCAGAGAGCAGAGGGGCCCTCTCACACTGGAAAACAGGACAGAATTTAGTGCAGGTATGGTTGTAGAGAAATATGTACTGCCAGGGACCAGGAGAATCAGAGTATAAAGAATTAGGAGAACTGGGGGTGGGGGTGAGAGCAAAGGAGGGAGAGGGATTGGTATGCTCTCACCTCCTGGGCCTACCCTCATATTAATCTGAAATTTAAAAAAAAAATTCCTAAGGATTAAAAAAAATTATGAAAATTCTTGCCTGATGTGCTCCATTTTCTCTGTTAAATAAGGTCATCTGCTCAGAATAGTACAGGAGATAGAATAGTAGCTAGCTTGAAGAAGTGAATAAAGATTTGAATAGTTGCGGAGAATGAGAGTGACATCTAACTAGAAGACCACAGGATTGATGGGCAGCAGCTGAGTCCCTGGCTGAGGGTGGAAATCATCACCTCCTCTCGACAAACACTCAGCATCTTCACTGTCAGTACAGATAAGGCAGAATGTTGACTTGGTCCAAGATTGGGATTTTATCTGGCAGGTGTAGACAAGAGAATAACAGCAACAGAGAGGTTAGTGGATCCCAGGTTCCATGTGCTGATGGATCCCAGGTTCTTATTGAGTAGGGAAAGATGTAAAGACAGAAAGGGAGCAATCACTGGGGAGGAAATCCAAAGTGGAGCAGTAAATCTTAAATGGGGTTGGTGAAATTAGAATAACCTCAGACAATTTTTTAAGCTGCTGTACTCCTGTAATGAAGTCCTGATATGCTCCCCAGTAGGCATTCCCTGCCTTCGCCTCTTCCCAATTGAGAATCGCTTCTATAGATAGCCATAGTCACTGTTGACAGCAGCATCGGGGTGTCCCTTAGCCTGTGGCCTGATAAAGTTGAGGCGCAGGTGTCATTACCCCACATGAAAAAGACTTGAAAATTATAGTGTCATATTATTAAGAAATAATCACCATTGCTAAACATTCTCTAGAAGAATTAAACTTAAGATGGTTGGACACAAAATGTCCATCATTTGTGAAATAATATAAAATTATATATATGTGTGTGTGTGTATGTATACATATATATATATATATATATATTTCAGTTAGTTACATAGAAACGTCAGTGAGTTAGAAATCATTTTCTAATTCTTGTTTTGTTTGTAATTTGGACAGAGCTCATATGGGTATCTGTGACTTGACTTTCTCTTTGAATCCTAAGTTGCGAAGACCTACCATGACACCAAACCAGAGGAATCATCCCCTGAGAACATTTTGTGTCCAACCACCTTGAGTTTAATTCTTCTAGAGAATGTTTAGCAATGGGATTATTTCTAAAAGTCTTTTGAACGCTTTTAACCAAAGAAATGGTACCTGAACATATTCAAGACATCAGCTTTTCCAGACAGTGACTTTTTATTTCGTTTCTGAGTCTTGTTCTTTATATTTCCTTCCTTGTTGTGTCTGTTGGTCTTTTGCACTTGATTTTAGCCAAAGGCCAAGAAGAGATTGTCTGTTTGTCTTTCTGTAAATATTAAAATTATGGTCTTTCTCTTTGAGGCTTGTAACATTATTTCTCTCTCTCTCTCTCTCTCGATTTCCTGTCTGTTTCTTTAAGGTGAGAATGCAGGAAGATGCAGCTCTCCTGAACAAAAGAATAAGCACTCAGCCAGGGCTCACAGCACTTCCCGAGAATCCAAACCCTACACTTCCACCTTTCCAAGATACACCTTGTGAGTTGCAACCAAGGATTGACCCATCTCTTGGTCAGCAGGTGAAGGATGGCCTCGTCGTGGGTGGCCAAGGCGATCCTTCCGTAGATGCCATTTACAAAGCAGTTGTCGATGCAGCCAGCAAAGGAATGCAGGTTGTCATCACCACTGCAGTCAACAGTACAACTCAGATCAGCCCCATTCCAGCTCTGAGTGCCATGAGTGCCTTCACTGCCTCGATTGGTGACCCATTAAATCTCTCCAGTGCTGTCAGTGCGGTCATTCATGGACGAAACATGGGAGGTGTTGATCATGACGGCAGGCTGAGGAATGCAAGAGGGGCTCGGCTGCCCAAGAATTTAGACCATGGGAAAAACTTAAACGAAGGAGATGGGTTTGAATATTTCAAGTCAGCAACTTGCCACACGTCCAAAAAACAGTGGGATGGGGAACAAAGCCCCAGAGGGGAGCGAAACAGGTGGAAGTACGAGGAATTTTTAGATCATCCAGGCCATATCCACAATAGTCCTTGCCATGAAAGATCCAACAATGTCTCTACACTGCCATTTCTGCCTGGGGAACAGCACCCAATACTGTTACCACCAAGAAATTGTCAAGGGGATAAAATTCTTGAGGAAAGCTTCAGGTATAATAACTACAAAAGAACTATGATGAGTTTTAAGGAGAGACTAGAGAACACTGTGGAAAGATGTGCACACATTAATGGGAATAGGCCTCGGCAGAGTCGGGGGTTTGGAGAGCTACTGAGCACGGCAAAGCAAGACCTGGTCCTAGAGGAGCAGTCTCCGAGTTCCTCAAATAGTTTGGAAAGTTCCCTCGTCAAAGACTACATCCATTACAATGGAGACTTTAATGCCAAAAGCATTAATGGGTGTGTGCCTAGCCCTTCAGATGCTAAAAGCATTAGTAGTGAAGATGACCTAAGGAATCCAGATTCCCCCTCTTCAAATGAGTTGATACATTATAGACCAAGGACGTTCAATGTTGGCGACTTGGTCTGGGGCCAAATCAAAGGACTGACTTCCTGGCCTGGAAAATTAGTAAGAGAAGACGACGTCCACAATTCATGTCAACAAAGCCCCGAGGAAGGGAAGGTATACCAATCTTTATCCATTGTCAAATACTAACCTTTGTGCAGATATCAATTATTGTTTTTTGTTATCATCACTTTGGATTCTTTGGATTTGAAATTAGGATTCTCCATGACTGATTGAGGTCTCACAAGCTTCTGGAGCATAAAATGAAGAGGGGATGGTTGTAGTCACCAAAATGTCATATCAACAAGGGGTGAGTTATGAAGCATTTATAGATTGCACTAGGGCTTAGTGTGGCTCTGAGCCAGGAACCAGATTTCAGAATTTTGTCAACTCTGCCTTCTTTCTCTGCATTTACCTAATTTTTCATTTCATACAGAGGAAAAAGGCAAGTGTCAATGACTGGGAAAAGAAATCTGGTAGCCACTGGAGGTCCAGGAGTGTGGCAGAGTAGGGCCCTCCTAGGCAGCGGGAAGTACCAGGAGACAGTGTCTCTTCTGTGTGTTTGTGCATGACACGTAGAGCTGGGGAGGGGGTAAGACCTGGGTGGAGTTGCAGCTTTCTCTGGAAGCAGCAGGTAATGTCTGAGTTAAGAATTGTGTCTCCTTTCAGGAAAAGTTCTAGGCCTTTATAACATATGGAAATGTTTAACCCCATGGTCTGGTTCTACTTAACACAATCTGATCATATAAATTAAATGAAAACTTCTCCATGAAACTACATTCAATTTAAAAGAAATTAGTAGGGGTCTTCTGAGCTCCCCCCCTCCATTATAAATGGTAAAATTGGCTTAGTAGGCAAGAAATGTGCTGAATGTTTAAAAGTAGATAGAAAATTTATATCTGACCAGGAAGAGATAATTATGCAAATTCCCCTCATATGATAAAGAAACATAGTTTTTCATTTTCTTAGGTAATAAAAATTACTCTTGCAGGTATATATTATTCTCTTAAAGAGTATATTGTATAAAGCTATTTCAGCTCTGCTCAGACTTTCACTGGCACTTAGGTTTAATGGCAGGAAACCAAAAGCATTTTTGCCAGCACAATAAAAGGATTGTCTTTCTCCAAACAACCAGGAGGTCCTTAAACCTTGCTCATATTGCCTAATACATACTTGTCAGGATACACTCTGGGCATAATGTTTCTATGTTTGATAAGAAAATGAATTCCATAGTACTGATCATAAGACATTTTATTCTCTATATTCTCTGAGACCAAACATTCTTTAGGTTGATAGACCTAAGTATTTTTGACAGTTGATTCAAAAAATGATTAGAAACAGCAAAAGTGGGCTTTTATGATAGAAATGGAACAGCTACAAATACAAGAAGTAGACATTGAACTGTTTTACAATCTCTGTGCAAACGAACCAAGTCTTTTTTATGTGCCATTTTACAAAAAGAAAAGATTATGGCCTCCCTTCCCTGGAAACATTCTTCCTGTCTAAATATGTTTTTATGTCCTCAGGAGAATAAAAGCATGCATTTTTAACACATTTCACATTAAACAATAGTTTGAATCTTCTGATTAATCTGTATTGGAATCTCCTGAGATCGAGTTATTCACTCACGATAGGGGAGATATACTTTTAAAAAAATCATCTAAAAGTTCAAGAAACATTTGTTTTGCTGCATTTAAGTAAAATGGTGTTCACTATATAATCAGACCGTTTTTAAAATTCAGGTTCTTTCTTTTTTCTAGGCAATAGATAAATTTCTAATAGGGAGCAAAAAATTGTTTTCTAAAATTTAGATATTCCTTCTCCCAATGGTTGACATGATAATTTTGCATTCTCAAGTAAAAGCCTTAATATTAAGATATACTAAAATTATTTTCAGTAATTCAAAAAGCTTAATTTAAAGCACACATTTAGAAGTGAAAAACTGAAAATATGTAATGATGTATTAATGATGATACGTAAGACATTTGTCAATCAGTAAAGGCCACGGTGACACCCGTAAAAGCTCTAAGGTCATTGACATTTTTGAAAACCTCTGGTCTTTTCAAGACCCATCTCACTTTTGCACAGAAACACAAAGCACTACTTCATAAACACTCTTTTTTCTCCTTAGTTCACAAAACAAAGGACTGCCTCAGACCTTATTTAATGATACCCAGTGGGCCAGAGTCCTCATTGTATAATACCAGAGAAGTGAAATTTTAAACACAGGTCTGTCTAATTCCAAGCCAGCAACCTGATAAATTGGTGACTCGGATCAATAAGCACCATCTTTTCCAGAAACATCTCTAGTAAAACATCTTTAAAAATCTATGCTCTTGTTTGGATAAACCAATTATGATGTAAATTTTATTTACATAGAACCCTTTAGTGCTCAGCAACATTGGATAAATAAAGCATTAATAACCCGACTTGTGCTTTTAAAAAGATAAGCAATGACTTAGGTTCCCTTCCGCAGACTGTGACAGTGCTTGACAATATTTAATAAAGTCTACAGAAAAGGAGACTAACTCCATAAACAATTTGTCTAGTAAGTAAAATCTTGTCAATTCTACCTTGCTGATATGGACTATGGAATCGTTTCCTATAGCATTTATCTTTGTAGTGTCTTGGAAGAAAAGATTTGACAAATAATTTTTGTACATAGTATCATTTTAAACCTTCTTAGCCTCTCAGATTTTATCCACCACAGTATTTAATAAATTAATCCAAGATTCTGTTAGATCCCACCAGATAAAATCCATGTTAACTCAAGTTTTAGAATAGATTTATTAACCACCTCCATCCCATGAACTATCATTTATTATTTTCAGTTATAATCTTTGTTCCCAGAAAGGCACTCCAAATTCTTCTCAGAAACAGACAAAATAGAAAATATAAACAATTAACAGGACTATAGATTATTATTCCAAAGCAAGCTGGGCGCCTCTCCTGTTCTCAGGTTGCATGAGTGGTCTCTGATGTGAGAGAGAGGCCAATACAGTGATCAGAGCACTGAAATTTGCCAAGGGCTGAGACCTCCACATTGTCCGTAAGTTCATCTTTTAGCAGACTATTAAACGTAGCAGAATTATTAATATGTATTAGAAATGTTCAGTAATTTCTAAGATGATTTCCTGAAAAGCATGATTTCTTGACATCAAGTACTATGTGAATACAGTCTGCAGAGAAATAAAAAGAAAGCAGGTGTTGCAGAAAGAGACATGGGCCTCAGACATTCTGAGCCCTGCCAGTTACCTAGGTGGTCCTGGATAGGATATAGTAAGCTCCCAGAGGCTGCAATCTCCTCACTCTCAAGTGAGAATATTAATTCCTACTCAAAATGATGTTTTAAGAATTAAATGAGATAGCATAGATCAATCCTCCAGCACACCAAAGATGCTCAGTAAATATTAGCCTCCTCGTCTCTGTTCTCTATGTTAGAGGACCATCTTGTTTGGATGCCACCATTATGAAGGTGTGGTAATTTCACCCTAGTTATTGCTTACCTATGCATCATCCTTGTGTGAAGGATGTGTTAACCAAGGTTGAGAGTAAAAGGACTATAAGGAAAATATTCAATGAATAAAATAGTTCATAACTTTTTTATGATGTTCAGTATGTCATGTACAGATTGGCACATCTGATTATAAGTTAATATTAAAGCACTGAGTTTGTTGAGTGAACCTGAAAGCTCTGCTTCCCAATGTTTCTAAAAAAGATCAACTCTAACTTTCTTCCTCTACCTGCCTGCCTAACCCACCCTCCACACACAGTATGAATCAGTAGAGTTTAACAGTCTATGACAAGTTGGGCTGAATCACCTGTATGTGTTACTGTCCTAGTATTGAAGTTATGTAACAGCACTGGAGATATTATGTGCCTTGTATTATACCATTCGGGAAGTGCTTACCAGTATGTTTTTTCCCTTTGTTAACGTTTAGTAATGAAGTGCATTCTGGTACATAGTCATGGCCAGAGAGATGCACTTCCAACTCTTGGTGTAGCGTTAGAGAATTCTTAGAAAAGGAATTCTGCATTATACCTATATGCCTTAATGTGTAAACATTTTTAAGCCTATGCAACTGTGGGAGAAAACAATTATTTTTATGTACTTATTTTAATAATTATTTAAAAATAGGGAAAATGCTCTTGTTTTCTAAAATTTATTTCACAATTGTCACCTGTCATCTTTGATTTTACATTACCTAGCCCAAAAGGGTTGCCTCCCAAGCAATAATAATCAAAAATAAAATTCTTTTCTATTCTGTATAGATTATTTTTCCTCTTTTTGAACATTGTCCCATTGGTCTTTATATGTCATTACTGTTACATTTCATGTGTATTTTGACCCAAGCCAAATTTAAGGAAGGATTTTTTCCTACAGCACAAAAATATTTCTTTTCCTCCTATTGCTGGACAGGTACAGAGATGCCTCCTTATTACCGAGAAAAGTAGTTCATCTTAGTGCAACACCATCTGATTAAATGAAGACATGTTTTTAAAAGTGTCAGTGGGTAGGTGCTCCCTCATTAGAATCACACTTCGATTTTTTTCCACACGGGTATATTTGGCAGGCAGAGATAAAAATAGCTCTTTGAGTAGTCATTCAAAGCTGACAAAACTCATCACCAAATTTATTTGGGGGTGATACACTTTCTGTATGTCAGTTCAGCATCACACGCACACATGTTTTGACAGTGTGGAGCAACACGAGAGACAGCTTGCCTTGCATTCTGTGGGTCTGTAACTTAAGAAGTTGAGTCTGGTAACTAACTTTGGGAGGTGTGCCCTCCTGTTTAATCTTATGTTTAAACATTTTACTCTGAAGAACATTCTTTCTGTGTTTGATTAACAGTATTGGCTGTTTGTATTCTTTGGTGCTCTAATGCTCTGTTGAAAGTGTTCTTTGTGTATTCACTTTGCCTCTTATATTTTCTATTGAAAATTGAAATTCTATTGAAAATGTAAGAATTGGCTCAGCACCTGTGGCTCAAGTGGCTAAGGTGCCAGCTACATACACCTGAGCTGGGGGGTTCAAATTCAGCCCGGGCCGCCAAACAATAATGACCGCAACCAAAAAATAGCCAGGCGTTGTGGTGGGTGCCTGCATTCCCA